CATGCAAATTAAAATCGAGCACAAACATCAACTTCGTCCCTTGCACCCCTAGAAATAAATTAAAGCAGTCAACGACTTTGAATATTAACATTTCATACACGAGAATGTTACCGCTAAACAAATGCAAAGATAACAAAACACTCGACTTTTCATTCCTCATTTTAAATGCAATCATAATTCTAGACGTCTCATGATAAACAGGTCGGTTCAGACGTATGTCGAACTGTATGCAAATGAGTTTTCTTTTTCGTACGACAGCAGATTTTCATCCAAAATATGCGCCTGTCTCACACGGGGCCCTCAAAAATTCAACGACGCGAGTCCGTCGTCGGCTTATTCTGTTTATTTTAGTTTTAATTCGAAAAACGGATGCATTACTATAATTGCTAGTTTTTAATTAAATAACCAAAAGTTTACTCAAGGGAAAAGTTTATGTTTTTGCAGATTTTTCAAAATCTGTTCGAATGTTTTTGTCTTGTTAAATAATCATTTTCATCAATATCATATCAGCTACAGGACGTCCACTGTTGAACTTAGGCATTTCCCAATGACTTCCATATAGATTATAGTTAGTGTTTCTTTAAAATTTGATAACGTATTAAAATGTGACATTTATCGTGTATTACTGATGAAGTATCCTCGTAGTGAGAAATTCGCATTAGATTAGTAGAAAGGAGAGTTTTCTGTTTGCAAATATTGCATCAATATGCGACAAAAACGATCAATATCGGATACACCTTTGTACGTACATACGCAGATAGTCTCTAGTATTGGCTAGAAATTCTCTTTGTTATGGATAGACAAATTAGTCAAGCCTAATGAACACACGATCGAAATTGAAGCAGTGTTCTTGTTTGTTTATACACAGATACTATGATAAGTAATCTTGTTTCCAGAGGCACTATGCATTGTAAAGAGGTTTTCTCATCATGTTTGTTCACCTTCTCATTATATCTCTTGGTTCTCAATAGATTTTGTAAATTAATGTTTGTTTGTTTAGGATAAGAGGGATTGTTTCTTTTTAATAAAGCGATGTCTGAGGACCCGAGGTGTTCTGTTTGTCTTGTAATTCTATAATTGGCTAATAGAAATAGTGTTCATTGGTCAGTAATAAAGTAAATGTTACTGATTGGTTTTACCAGGCCAAAAAGTCATTCGGAAGGCCTATAGTAAACGGTTGGGGTATTGTGACTGCTATGGTGTTGTGTTACATCAAATGTAATCGATTATATGAAAAATATTAATGTTTTTTAGAGTATATTAATTCGTAAAATGAATCTATATTGAACAAAAGGAAACCTTATCCTTTAATATCCTTAACCATTTTATGTACAATTTTAAAATTTCAATGTAAAACATAATAAGGCAGTTAGGAGGTACGGTTTCGGGTGGTAGCTACGGCTACGTAGCCAGTCTCCAGACAAGAGCTGATGAATATTTCACTTCATTATAACAGTTGCTGTACTGGTTCTTGTGTAATATTAACGCGATGACGGAGACACAATGGTCTCGGATTCTTTTGATCTGTGTTTTTTTTGTTAACAGTTAGATGTTTCTTTAGAAGAAATTATAAGGAAGTGTTGCTCAGATGTTTTGAGACAGTTAAGAAATGTTTTGGGTGACTGACGTTGAAATACTGAAACGTTACTCAATTTTAAGTCGCGCATAAGTACCATAATATCGTTTCCATTGCGTTCAGAAGATAGCATGTGCTGAACCAGAGTTTTTGATATTATTTAATTAGGTACATTTAACATTGAAGAGTTTACTATTGTCGGTGCTTTTATGCGAATGAATATAATATATACAAATGAATCTCATTTTCCCTTGGTCTGGCTGGACCGATTTCACTAATTCATTATTGTCGTATTTGTTATTACATATTAGGAGAAAGTTCTTATGATTAAAAAAAAATCTAACTATCCTACGGGAACGAGATAAAACGGGATTGCGCGTACAGAGTCGCGGGCAGAAACTAGTTGCATATAAATAAGCGAATTAACTTGCATCAGTTAAACAAAACCTCATTTGATCAGTAAATTTTTAAGATTAAATGTACATTGAAGCTTTAGTAAAAAACTAGCTTATGTACAAATTATCAACTCCACCTTATTTCAAGTCACGCTTTAGTATTGTTCTGTCACAACAAATTCTTTGTAAAATGACAGAGATGGCATGATATTTAAGTACAACTTAAAATTGCGTAGCTTTTCAGTATTCGGGCAGAGTTGTAAAAATTATGTCATATTTAGTTATAAATATGTAGTTAATACATACATATGACCCAGTAAGATAAAATTGAAATCAATTTGTTTTAAACCCGCTATTCCTTTCACATTCAATACGATTTATAAAACTAATTTAATTTACAAAGTCAACTTGAAAATTGTCTATGTAACTTTTATGTCGAAACAAATTATATTGTAGTCTTAACGAAAACCAACCATTTATAATGTAAAGATCACTCGCGATAATAATAAAGAAGGGCCGATTTTCAGTAAAAGTCTAATTCAATTGTAGTACACTTTCAAGATAAGGTCCAAGCAAAGATGGAACAATTTTCTTTTTTTCATCACTAAAAGGGAATTTTTGCTAAAAGCGAAAATAGGCCTAAATAGGAGAAAATAAGGTCCTATTAAAGGCTCTGTTGTGAGACTCTGACGTTTCTTGCTATTTAGAATAGAGGTACTTATTTACTTAAGTAAATGAAGATTATAATATAATTGGAACTAACAAGGTACAGAACTATTCAATTAAAATTAATTAGTTTCAATTGTTGGGTAACTCAGTGTAATAGAAACTATGATTTTAGATGTTCAGTTCAGTGAAGGTTGATGTTCAGTAATGTGTAATAGCGGTTATAAATTAAACAGTACTAAATGAAAACTTTCATAAAATAACGTTACGTTAATTTGATTGTAAGTCAAACGGTGATCAAGTAATAGGGATGATGACAGGGTATGAAAATAAAAAATATAATTAGTACGTCAGTTAGGTGATGAAAAAATATAAGACACGTATTTTTTTATTTTGTTGTATAATAAAATGATACTTAGATATAACGAATAAAAGTTTAGGAGTGGGGGCTAAAACGTCATTTCTGCGCATAAAATGTACATAGAAGTGACGTCACGCGACATTTCAAATCGGTATATATTCGAAACGATTCGTTTCCGTAAAAAATAAAAATACGTGTCTAATGTTTTTAAATAATATACCAGACGGATATTAAAATAAAAATAAGGCATCTACCCTATTATAAGGTTGGCCTAGGGACTAAGCAGTCACTACGTCACCGTGTAAGCTATGAATGGTTCTGGGTCTGAATATGAATAAACAATAGTAACATTGTGTATTGGTATGCACGGCTACACATCAAGCTTTACATAACCAGTATAAACTGAACGTTAAATGTGCGGAAAGATGATGCAATGCGATACCAAGATAAACTGGTTTTGTATAGATTGATGTGTGGCCGTGTGTACATGCACCTAAGACACAGGAGAAAATATAACGGTTGGGAAAACATTTAAAATAACAGTAAATAAAAATTAATAGCTTCAAGCTATGGGTTGTACCTACAATCAATTTATTTTTCGTAACTAAATATTAATGCAATACAGCGCATTCAATGTCTTTGGTCCACCCTTTTCTCTCAAGGCAGCAGAATAAAAGCTCTTATAACAATTAAGTCACAAGATTTAGCGATATATAATTTAAGGGGCCAACATCCAATCGAGTATGAAAATATTTAACAGTTCTAATATTATGCAATTTATTTATCGTTTATTTACAGGTACCTTGAAGTACTTCACACTTGAAATTTAAAATATACATATCACATTTATGAAATGGGTTTTATGTTAGCTCTTAACAGTATTTGCTAATACATTGAGAACTCTCAGGAGTTTGCGAAGCGATTCAATGTCAATAATAATCTCTGAATTCTCTCAACTTGAAATCTAACTCATTGTCATCAACCAACGCTTCCCTTTTATTTTTAAACCAAAAACTCAAGATACGTTCGAAAGGAGGCGTACGTAAATTCCATTTACTGGTGGGAAGTGCCGAGCTCCGGCCCCATCGCAAACTCTACTTAATTACGCGCATAAATTGAAGTGCTCTTCGTACACGATGGATGTAGCCACATTTTAACTCATAAAATATCGTTTCTTTGAAAGTACCGAGAATTGGTCCACCATAATTGGTTATGAGGGCACATTGGCATGCGCGGTAATTTTATTCCAGGTGTCGCTTATGGTTGGACGCTGAAAATTTAATGCGGTGGTCAGATTTTGATTGGGATTGTACCCGCATTCATGAATATCGGTACGAAAAATTTGCGTTTAAATAAAAAATATTTTATTTATACTCAGCTTCTCTTTTTTGCCATAGTACAAAATTACCCTTTACACATCAGAAAAGTTATTTATTTATTTTATACTTTATTGCACACACATAAAAATAAGTATACATTGTAATAGTACTTTGAGTACAATAGGCGGTCTTAACACACGCGGCTATTTTGCAAAATACGAAATAAAATTTAATGTTAATTTATTAATGTCGGAATACTCAAACGCTACTCAATTTTAAGTCGTGCTTAAGTATAGTTCTGTCTCTACAAATTCTTTGTAAAATGACAGAGTTGGCACGATAAGAGAGGCTGATATCAAGGTTCAAGCGTGATGTAGCGTATGTATGTACCTCTTTACCTTATACAATCAGCAGCTGCAAATGCCACTTACCAAATTGTAAGGGATTGACGTAAATTTTTACCCCCATACATTTTGATTTCTACACAGGTTTTCTATATAGGATAAATACAAGAATACAGGTCACACAAGTCATTAAAATATCTGATTATACGATCTCTTTGGTAGCTATGTCACCAATTCATTTTAAATTATAATACCTAGATTCCTAATTTCAACGTTTCGTTACTAATTCTAAGTGGTCATGAAATATTGGTCATAATCAAAGGCTAACATCATCATAAATGCTATCATTGTAACTATAACATAGAATTGAAAAATACTAGATACATTTAAAAATGGTTTGGTGGATGAATCATAATCCCAGTAAGCAAAAAGAAGGCGTGAGTGTATGATTTAAGATTTGATTTATAACACGCTCGTATTCTTATAAGAATTTTAACATTAAGGATAGGTTGATGGAGGTTTCATTTGATATAAGATATTGTAAGATATTATTAACTATTGATTTTACAGGTGTTCAATGGCGTGGAAACTAAGAACGATACGGTTTACGAAACTATTAATATTATGTATGATTGCTGTAAGTATATAAAAATAACATGTCAACGTTATCATGAAATATTAAGGTGAATGGGTTTACTGTAAACGACTTAAATAATCATATATAAATGTTATTTTAATGTGTTTTGTTTTCAAAATTGTAACAAGAAGTGCTTTTTACACGTTCGGTTGCCAGGTAACCGGTGCTGAGTACCGCATTTTATACAAACTACGTACGTGTGAAAGCTACAGTATATGACCATAAACTTCACCGCCGGGTAGCCGGCAACTGGAACGTGTGAAAAGGTAGGAAATGTAACCGACTTTTAACAATATTCTGTAATTCGACTTTACCTATGTAATTCCACGTATCTCTTTCGGTTCGGGTATAGTAATTTGGATTTCATATGGGACGTGTAACAAGTTATGTTTTATCAACACTCTGTGTAATCGTCACCTCTAGTCTAGCCGTCATAACCATCAATGTCTTTTTGTCATAGGTATGCCTTTCATGTCTTGTCATAACATGTGCATACAACGATATCCGACTTTTATTGACCTACTGTTATTTAGTTGTAGTAGTAATCGTCAATATGGAATTTTTGTTAATATTCATGTTATTGTTGCAGTAGAAGTTGATAGTGTTTATTAATTATTACAATAGTATGTTTGAAAAAAAAATTGAATTAAGTTTTACTTTCAGATAATGTGTCATACGACAGATATGACATTCGCGCCCTTGTTAATGCTGGTGTAAATATCATCAATGTCGACATGACAATACATAATAATGGGTTTTTCCAACAAATCAAAATTGCTGTAGATTTTTTTGAAAAAATTCCGCAAATTATGCCATCGCTTTACATTCCTGTCGGATTATCTGTTACTATGTCTGCTCTAAATCCTATTGACTTAGACAATAGAGTAAGTAGATTCAATTCTCATAATAACATAATGTAAAGTTTTGAAAAGTGTGCATGATTCTCATACGATTCCCGAGACGGGTTCAACTATTGCTTTATTTAAATTTTTCTAAAATTCTTATACGGACACGGTGGTATTTAAACGCCATACGCGATGATGATATGTGTTACATTGTACATGGGCATTTTTCATCACTGCCTACTCGCCCTAGTGGATTAAGGGCCTTATCATTTAAACTTGATGTTAGATACTCTGAGGTCGCTGAAAGTGTCTGCACCCTCGAGGGTCAAAACTTCTTCTCATCAACAATTAGTCTGACTTAAAATAATCTTCTCTTATTTTTCTGTCGCGAGGAAAATTTTCTCAGGAAAAAAGACAAAGTCTCTTCGATAACTAATTAAAAAGTTTCTTCCAGGTTGACATTATAATTTTAAAGGATGTTACGTCGACGAACCAACTGCGCGAATTCAAGAAACAAAATAAGAAATTGTCATCTATGACCATTTTACTCTGGCCTCCGTCCCTTGGAATTGTGGACCTAAATGAATTAATTAAGGTTAATAAGATATTAAATTTTATAAAGGAAGCGAATATTTCATGTAATTTATTGTTCAATGAGAATTTTCATTTTATTAGATTTCGAGCGGTCTCGTTTTGGATCCGAGTATGGGTGACGTGTTTAACGTGTATTACAATGTTTTGAAACTATGTACAGATGTAAGTTGTCTCTTGTTGTATACTTGGTGTAGCTATAACTAAGCACTGCCTTGTTAGTTGCAGATAGATAAAAACCAAGAACTTAACTTTCGATTTTATTTCAAAGTCAAAAAGTTGTCTACCGATAATATCGTCTTACTTCTCATTGTAATGATACTAATACCTTATTGTCGGTATAAATCTGCTTATCACTTCAAGCCACAAAAAGCCTGTTACTACGTTTATGTTGTTCATAAATTTATTGTAGGAAGTTGTAATAAGTAAAAAGGGTTAGACCAATATAGCCTGAATGTTAATTTGGGCCTAACAAAAACAAAGGCTCGCAAGTTGGGAGCCTACCTCCTAAATATTGTTAACGAAGTAAGTTTAATTACTCCTTGTAAATTGTTTAAAGTTTCGCCCTTAGAATAGAGTAATATGGTAGCTGTATCGCTGTGATTTGTAGTTATATATTTAAATTATAATACGGTATTTGACAACTGGTCAAATCTGTCTTCGGTCTTTTTTCGAACTGTCAAAAACTACAGATTTCTATGAATTTTGTACGAGATTGTGAATTGAAACGTGACGTCACACGTTTTTCAGCTTCAAACAGTGTGCTTATTTCTAAAAATTTGATTTAAAAATTAAGGTGGTCATAAAATAAATTAATGAAACAGTGATTATTTTTTAATATTTCATTGTTATGAACAGTCATAATTATTTATTTTTGATTAAGGAAAGTACCCAGTTATGAGAGCTGATTATATTCATCACTACCATAAATATATATCTATTATAAACTCTCATAAAAGTTTTATAATATTTCTATGGCCAGTCACTACCTTTACTTTGTCTTCGAATGTTGTAGGACTTCCTTTAGTCCGACTATACTGCATGTATTTGACTGAAGCTAGTCACGAGTACTTGAATTACGTACTGATATACATACAATCGTTTTCTAACATAAATTACTTCTTAATTACAGGCTCGCAAACCCGTATTCTACATGCACCCGAACATAGTAGAAGATTATTACGAAGGTCCATCTAACGATAGAGAATTACTGATACAAGTGCGTGAATTGATCACGAATCAATTTGATGGTGTTATTCTGAAGAACCATGGAAAACAACCGCCAATAGCATTCATACAGTCATTTGTAAGAGCCACGGAGATACTAGAAAATAAAACTAATCTAACTGCAGATTATTTTAATAAAAGTTTTCCAGTAAGTGCTTTTGTGTGTAGGTACCTATTTTTATAATCGATGTTATCTGGGTGTCACAATTAAAGTAAATAATAATCACATATCACATAACATTACGTCTTTTATCCCGAAGGGGTAGGCAGAGGTGCACATTACAGCTCTTAATGTCACTGTACAATGTAGGGGGTGAGCCTATTGCCATATACCGGGTACAATTGTAGACTCCGTGCTACTACTGTCATTTTTTTTTTAAATTCGAGTAATACTTTGCCCGATCTGGGAATCGAACCCGAGACCCCTTGCCCAGTACTCGCACTTGTGAACATTCGGCCAACGAGGCAGTTTTTTTTTGCGGGGGTAAAATCATCCCATGGCTTCTCCGGCCCGGGTGACAGTCTAAGCAATAACTAATAATAAAGCAACGAAAATGCGTTTAATCTTTTTACAAAATAAATTTCAGTAAAAACAACTGAAAACACATGCACATAGTTCTAGTTTAACCTTTAGGACTTGTAGTGGCGCATGCGCTGTAAAAATGAAAGATTCGGGTTTTATTCCTGTAATGACAATAAGTCCTTACTGACAATAACATAACCGAAAAAGAATCACTACATTTACTTTTAAGGGGGGAAAATCACACACACAAAAGAATAACTACATAGTATAAAACAAAGTCGCTTTCTCTGTCCCTATGTCCCTTAGTATGCTTAAATCTTTGAAACTACGCAACGGATTTTGATGCGGTTTTTTTAATAGATAGAGTGATTCAAGAGGAAGGTTTATATGTGTAATACATGCATATTGCACCCGTGCGAAGCCGGGGCGGGTCGCTAGTAATATTATAAAATTATTATATTTAATAGGTTGTTAACTTGTATTGTAGCTGTTACTGCCGGTTCTACAACCGTACTCTGTAGCGCTGGCTGCTTCTATTGCGGCCGTAACATGTGGAGCGAAGGCCATCTTTGTACTTACTTCTACGGGGTCTTCAGCAAAGGACCTGTCTTGTTCAGCACCACCATGCCATGTGCTCGCCATCACAAGAAATGAAAAGAGCGCTCGAAGAATGCATCTGTATAAAAAAATTATGCCATTGTTATATCGAGGTGAGTTTTGTTAATATAACTCATGACTCCATTACGTAAGTGATATAGTAGAAATAAGTATCAGCTTTTAATCCCAGTTCGAGAACCGTCCAACAGGACAAATGTACATCTCCATTCGAAAATACACTTTGGAAAGTGCTTTAAGATACTAATAGTACAAGCCCAGCACAGCTGTTTACATACTATGCAGAGAAGAAAATTAAGATTGATTTAGTACAGAGACATTACTGTCTCTGTTTGGCTACTGAACCGATTAATTGTTGCAGAAAATATGGCTTGATTAAACATACACATATATAACATCACGCCTTTTATCCTAAGGGGTAGGCAGAGATGCCACTGTACAATGTAGCACCCGCTTTTCACTATTTATGTTATGAGTCCCATGTAATAGGGGGTAACCCTATTAAATGAATCTTAATTTTCTTACCTTCATAGTATTAGCTGTGCTGACTTATTGGAATCAAGGATTGTATTGTGAACCTGATTGAAAAAGAGTAACCTATGGAGTTTCTTGCTCGTTCTTCTCCATAAAAAACTACAGTTTGGAACGAGCAAATAGCTTCCCTAGAGGACTGACTAATAGATGATCATTTCTAATATTTCAGTATTTTGTTTTGACGTTCAAAAGTGCCTTCCTGGTTTAATTGAGATAAATGATATTGATACATTTTTATTAATAGAATTTCTTCATTGCGTAGAAATTTGAGTTAAAGTTTTGTGTGATTTGAAGTAAAAGTCTGCACCAAATTGAGGTTTTCGGCCTAAAATGTTTTTATCTCCTTTTATTATGTATACCAAGATTTAATGGTAGGTACAACTGATTTCTTAATTGCAATATCTGTTATTGTACCATGACGAAAATAAACGAAGAATACAAGACATTAGCATAATGTATTGTAATTACAGAAAAACGGTTAGGTTCCTGGCAAGAAGAAAGGTTGGCCCGAACTGCTTTTGGCGTAAAATTTTGCATCAAATGTGGCCTACTCGACTTCAAAGCCAAATTAGTGGTGTTAGCCCCCAACGACCAAGGAACTGCGTACTGCAATGGCTTCCAAATATTTACTGTTTTACACATTATGAATTTCTACTTATGTAAATAGGAATATAGCTCCATGCTCCATTTGAATATCTTTAGTGAGAAGATAGTGTTTATTTCGAAGATTGTTTCAAGAAGATTGATAAAATAATTTTAAATATAATTTTTTGCTATGAGTTTGTTAAGAAATCAAATAGAGGCGATGTAGGTATTACTGATGTGAATGGAGTAAGCGCTTTTAAGAAATAATGTTAGTTTATTAAAATAAATAACCTGATTTGATTCAGTCGTAGTACTCAAGAATTTAAAAGGTATTTATGTCTGTCAATATGAGGTCTGTTCAATGTTATAATTTAGATAGCAAATAAGTTGACGCGCCGTTTATCACTTTTAACCATACTTATGAATAAATAATATCCAATTAATTGTCTTTTAACCTAAAAATTAGCACTAAAGCAAAACGTCAATTAAAGCTTCGATTTTCAGTACGCTACGTAAACGCCTCCCACCTCTAATTAAAACTATTAGAATAATTAATTAGAAGTCCCGCCTAACACGATTAGCGAGTTTGCTGAATTAACAATGCATCTATTGGTATAGTAAATAAGTGTTAAATTGTGTTGTGTAAGAACCAACAACCATTTTCATTTGACAGCTACGGGAGGTTTATTTTGTTAGTGCAACTAAAACAAAGGTTTGCCACTAATTGCCAGATCGCGGCCGCACTGTGTAATGTACACAAACTCTGCCAATACACACACCCTGTATAGTTTGTATCACTTGTAGAATCGCGGAAACGTCCTTGTGGTTTAATATACAATTTTAAATTCGAATATAGTAAAGAATAAACGGGATTTATATATTATGAATTTTGTGAAACATACTAATCTCTTCTAATTTCCATCTCTATGCAGACGACTTGCAGTTATACCGTCAGTTCAACATAATATCTGAAGCTCATTCTGCTTTCGATGCAATGAATCGTGACTTGGATGGAGTTGCAGAGTGGGCCAGATGTTTTGGCCTGCAAATTAATCCTCTCAAGTCTCAGGCCATGGTTATCGGAAGCAGATATTATCGTAACGCCCTCGACGTTTCTAATCTTGTTCCATTGCGTCTGAGTGGCACTGTGATTCTATTCACTGATTCTGCAAAGAACTTGGGAGTGCATATCGACTCAAATTTGTCCTGGACTGTCCAGGTGAACGAGGTTAGTCGGAAGATTTATTTCTCCATTCATTCCCTGAGGCGCCTCCAGACCCTGTTGCCTGTGAAGACTAAGATTCACCTCGTCAAAGCGCTAATCCTGCCTCTGATTGACTACGCGGATGCCTGCTATTTGGATGCTACAGAGGAGCTTTTAAATAAACTTGAGCGATTGCAAAATGTTTGTATCCGCTTTGTCTTTGGTTTAAGAAAGTACGACCATGTTTCCGTATTCCGCAATAGGCTCAAGTGGCTTCCGATCCGTCTTCGCAGGAACACTCGCATTTTATGCTTCCTATATAACATCCTCTTCAACCCTGTCTATCCTGCTTACCTTCGGGACCGTTTCTCCTTGGTTCGTCCTCCTGAAGTCCTATCTCGTTCACACCTTAAATCTAATCTTAAAATCGAACCCCATAATTCCGACTTCTATTCCTACTCCTTTTCCGTTCATGCAGTGAGACTGTGGAATGCGCTCCCGCCTAACATTCGGGACGCTGAGTCTATCGCTATCTTTAAAAAACGAGTGAGAGAACACTACCTTTCCTCCTGATATGTAAATTTCTTCATTTATATGTATAGTTTATATTTTGTATGTATTTATTTATGTATTGTATGTAGTTGTTAGGTTATTTATCTGTTTAGTTTTAAGTCTGTTTCCTATCCCAATTTTTTATTTGTTGCTACACACTGTGTCACTATATTATTATTACTTTTCCTTCTCCAGGTCCACAGGAAGAAATTCCAATAGGAATAGGTGGTACCTTTGTACTTTAATTTTATGTATGTGTTGTCCTTTATGTTGTATGTGTGTACATAAATAAATAAATTAAATATTATGATTTCGGCCTACACGTGTAATTACAAATAGTTAATTATTTGACGCCAATATCGACTAGTTTCAAGCCATGCTAGAAACGAAATTCTTGTTCTCATTGTAATCAAAATTAATTTTGACATATATCTATACATATAATAAATCTGTAGAAAAGTAATATGGAATAAATTTATGAAGAGGCTGTAGAATTTACAGTAATTACAAGTATTTTATCTATACTTATAAAAACGAACAGTGACTTAATAAAAAAATAACAAATTAATAGCATTTATTCTACAACACAGTAGCTCTTCATAATTCAAACACAACCAAGACACTACTTCGACATAGTGTAGTAGTGTAGAAACGTGAGCGATACTAATTGCTAAGTATAAACAGATTATAGACTGCATGAGTGTGCATTTAAATGAAGTACCATTTACATGAGACCTCATTAGAGTGAGAACGTAGGTAACGCGAGACTAAAATGCATTTCATATTCTCATACAAAGGATATCGCATCCTGTTACAAGAAGCCTTTGCATTCAGATGCATCGTCCTAAATTCAGGGGCTATTCTGCAAAAATATTCAATTTTCAATGAAACTTTTTGTGTGACTTTGAAAAAATATCGTTATATCTGTACGTATGATTTTATACCTACTAATTTGGAGTCAAATATGTGGTAACATAATTGGGTACTTTTCTTAATCACAAATAAATTATTTCTACTGTTCAACAATACAATAAAACATAAAAAAAATCACACTTTTATTAATTGATTTTATGGCCAATTTAGTTTTAGTATTTTTCCAGCAAACATTTAAGAAATAGGTATGCTGTTTGATACTAAAAAATGTGACGGCAGAAAATACAATCTCGTACAAAATTCATAGTAAACTGTTATTTTTGACAGTTCGAAAAATGTAGTATTGAATTTGTCTTGTTGGCCCTGTTCTTCCTGTGGGTAAGTACCTAATGTACCTAAGGGATTGGATACTTAACAGACAATGGGTGCTTTCTGACAAATCTGAATCTTTAATTACGAGAAGATTAAGTCAATCCCTCTTATACGTATAGAAGAGCACCAGTAGTGGACTATCACTGACTGCCGTGTGTGATGTGATGTGGGGAGAAATAAATTGGGTTTATTCATAAAAACAGTTAAAGCTGTGTTTTCCGTAATTCGTATATGTAAATTTTCTACCTAAAATTGTAACAATGTATTTTGTTATTCATTCGATAGTAATTAAACTGCATTGGTTTCCCGCTAATAGTAATTGGAAAATATGAATATATGAATATTTTCTCGAAATTATATTATTTTGTTACGTGATTTTATTTAAGTTCTTAAATACAATTCAAACTTCTCGTTATTTATGAAAAAAATAAAATTTCAACAATTTTATACTGCTGAATAACCCGAGGCTTTGTTCATTCGTCGAGGGCTCGCTAATGTCACACGAAATAAGACTAAAACGTGGATATTAAGATGCTCTCATTTCATCCGCCTTTGAAGGATTGTGCTGCCAAAAAGAGTGGGAAGCACTAGGTCACGTCGAGAGCTTGCCATTGTCAGCAACATTCAAAGTCATTCAGAGACCATGTTTGAAACGACAGCCAGCAAACAAAGGTTTTCGTAGACTGTTCCATGCGGAAGATCGAGAATTTTTACTTACACATGTTTTTGTCTGGGAACGGTGTTTCTGTGATTACAAAAATCGTTTTACCCTTTTCTGATAGGATACATTTGCTAAACAAAGTACATTTTGGAGATAATATAAAAGAAATGGCATGCTCATAATTTGAACAATATAGACTTTGTTGAATTTGTGATTGGAGCTCTAGAATATTGAACTCAAAACTTATACCAAATACTTGTTTCATATTAGAATCTTAAAGTTTTCTCTGAAGAACTAATATGTGGAACTTAAGTTTTCTATTTGCCCATACATACAAGTTAGCTAAGTAACTGTACTCTCTATCGAGGTTGATTAAGCTCAGCACTTTATTGAATTCAGTTCCCAGTATGCGGCGAGGTCTAATCGATTTTATATTCTGTTTCCACGTAGTAGAATCGACGTACAAAGTGGGATTGTTTCTAAAACAACACCAGTAGCCCAGATTATAACAGAATAGAATCGATAAAGGCTTATACAGAGGACTGTGTAAAAGAAAAAAAACATTTGAATTTCCCAAACGGCAAGCGTTTCAACCGATCCGTCCATTGTTTCTTTAAACGGTTCCAATAAAAATGCAAATACACAGTCTATGCGTTGTGTGCGTTGTCCGCTATCGACTCTCAAACTAGTTTATTTAGTTTTAACTTTATTCTCCACTCTATTTACTTCCTGTGTTTATCCTGTGTCTAGTCTATCAACTATGTTCATTTTATATCACTTAGGATTTCTTTATATTTATTTTCGATTTTCTAATGGGTTTCTTTACAAAAAAATAACGTGAGTGTCTGAGATTGTGTTGTATTAAATCAAGATGAGGAGTTTTCAGTTTTATAGAATTGGAAACATTTTAAAACCCCTTTGCGTCTTACATTGCTTTGCATTGGAATAGTAACTTGATGTAATTAGCCTGTAACTTTTCATAGGTTCATCAACGGAGGTATTATTTTGCACATATTCTCCGAACAACGAATGAAGATGGGTAATTGGTTATTGTGGTTATTGGTTGTCGGTTGGTTAATGTTTAATTAGCCTAAGTTCATTGGAAACCTTTTTATTTATGTACGAGGTAAATGATATTGTACCGAAAATAATTTTTCATATATATTTTTCACAGTTTTATCGAGGTAGACTGAAAAAACACAACACGAGAAATTCGGCGAAGTGACGATCATACAAATATTTTATATCCCATAATTTCCCTAGTGACGACCGAGTACGGTGTTCGAAAGATACGTCTTTTTTACTTTTTTGTCATACTCATTCTGAAATATCGTTTCTCTGCATTTCGGTAATTTGTAATTTGGATATTTTTAAATTAATCAAATCAGCTTGATAACTCGACTGCGTTGAATATATTTGAAAACTA